TATGTGGACAAGAGACCTATCTTACAATGCCATTGTTAGATAAGAGATCAAGAAATTCAATTTTATTGAATTCACCTCCACCATTAGACTAAAATATTTTAATCTTTTGTTCGAATTGATTTTCAACCATTTGTTTAAATTGAGCAAAGTATTTATGAAAATCAAATTTATGTTTTAAAGGAAATATCCAAACATAATAAGAGAAATCATCAACAAATGTAACAAAATATTTAAAACCTTGGAATGATGCACAAGGAGCAGGTCCCCAAATATCACAATGTAATTTTTGGAAAGGAAATGTACTTCGTTCATTACCACTAGAAACAAAAGGCAATTTGGAAAATTTTCCCATTTGACAACTGGAGCAAATAGAAGGAGTATTATTCTTTACCCCTTCAAAGGAAATAAAATTTTTATTTTAAAGAAAATTCAAGATTTTTGAATGAGGATGACCCAATCTTTGATGCCAAATTTGTTGAGTAGCCTTCCTCTGTCAAACTGAAAAGAGAGCCAATTTATTTTCTCCAAAAGTGTAAAGACCTCCATCTTTAGTTCTATTTGCTATTGTTTTCCACGCTTTCTTGTCCTTGATCACAAAGCCAGAAGATGTAAATATAACAATAACATGTGGAGATTTATCAAGTAATTGAGATATATAAATCAAATTATGTGTAATATCATGAACAACCAAGGCATTTCTTAATGAAAGATTTCCAAATGGTGTAGGAATTGAAACATTAGCAACATGAGTAATTTTAAGTTTCTTACCATTTCCAACTAGAATCCTATTTGTTCCTTTATAAAGTCTAACATTAAATAAGTTACCTGCATTATTTGTGAGGTGAGACGTTGCGTTAGTGTCAGGTTTCCAATCAAGATCATTTTCATCATCTATAGAAAGTGCAACTAAAGCCTTCGGTATGTCCTCTTGATATGCATGATTAAATCTCTCATAACATCGGATAGCCTTGTGTCTAGGCTTATTGCAAATTTTGACGAATGATTGTTGTATGTTGGCTTAGTTTTAGCTTTTGTCAAAATTGGAGTTTCCATTGTTGTTTTTGTGGAATATTCCCCTTCCTCTAGCATCACCACGTCCTCAAAAGGAATGATTGTTAAAACGCCCTTTTCCTCAATTTGCTATGAAGGCTTG